ATATTTGGTTTTATGTATCAGACTAGTCATCTGGATGATTTTATTCTTACTCTTTTTTCTGTATTTTAACTGTTTTTTGGGGGGAAGAGATTAAGGAGGTAGAAATGGCAAAAAGGGTTAAAGTAACAGAATTTTGCTCCTGAAGACACCTAATAGACTTAACATTGTGTAGTTAAGTTGGAGCGGAGTTTCTCAGTCGCAACACTATTGACATCTGGGGCCAAAAAATCCTTTGTTATGCAGGGCCAACCTATACAGTATACGACATTTAGCAACATCCCTGTCCTCTACCCACCAAATGTCATTACTGCACTGACCCTACCTGCCATCTTGTGACAACCAGACACGTTTGAGGGGGTCTTTGATACATACCGTGTTCTGAAAGAGATGAGGAATAAACCAAACATAGAAATGATATCACCTTTGTTATTGGCAGAGCTGGGTTGAAGAAGGGGAGTTTGTCAGTAAGACAAGTCAGTTTGGTAAAAATGAACACAGAATAAGGCCAACTTATCAACCAGGTCCCAGGGAGGAAGGTGTTGTTGGGGAGGTAAGAAAAATTGATTCTATCTGTATGAAGGCAGCTTACTCCCAAGGCATGGGGGTGGCCATGGGGTTTTGCTCAGCATGAATAAGTCTTAAATATTTCCTCCCTATTTTGAGTTTTAGGTTCACATACTCAATTATAATCTTTGGCTCATGACACCATGTAATCGTTAGCCCATGGTAGTCAGCTATTATTTATTGAAATATCTTGATGGTTACTTTTAAAGGATGTAATTCACATCTAGTGACTATCCAAAATAAAGCTGGAAATGTAACAATTACATACTTGTAAATACATGGTCCTCCCCAGCCTAGCTTCCTACTTCTCCCACCTGAGAATCATCATCCTGATACCTATTCTCCCCAAACTGACCTATGTAATTTAATTCCTCTAGCTCCACAGGTCAGAAATGAGCTCAAGGAAAATGCTTCCTTGAGGAAGCCAGGAGGGAAGACCAGGGTTTCCTCCTATCAGGTGGCGCTGAATGAAACTTGTCTACATTTCCTTATATTTTGTCAGCATACAGTGCATCCCTGGCAACTAAGTATATGCCCAGAAACCTTTCTGAGGATCCTGCAAAGTGTTTAGAACTTGAATGGTTATTATTCTTTGATTAGTGTGAAATCAGCGTTGCCACATTGAACACATGCTGATGATACTGGCCATCCATAACTTGGCATCTAGAAACCTACATGCTCACTTTGTTCCCCTTCGGGTCTAAGTTTTGTTTCATGTTCTGAGAATTTTTGAATTTAAAGCAAGTAGTCTTTCTGTGGATTAAGGCTCCCTCAATTTGGACTTTTCTGGTTTTCTTGCACAATCCAAAGAGTCCCTTCAAAAGCAGAATAATACCATTTCTGAGTTGGTCTAGGGCAACATCTCCCCCAGGGTAAGACATTAATAACAAATGACATTGTAATGACAGATTCAGGTTGATAATTTCACTGCATATTTATAATCTATTCAAGCCATGCTTCGGACTTAGCAAAACGGTTGACAAAAGAGCAACATACCCATAATGCCTGAGTTTTTCTGAGTTTGCACAGTAGCTATGATTCCAAATTTCACTGTAAACCATGTGATAGAAACTCATCAAGTCAAGGAACGAATGACAATGAGCTCTCATTAAAGAATAAGCTCCATCACATAGGGATTTTTTTTGTCTAATCCATTGCTACCTCTAGAACAAAAACTTGTGCATGATAGTAGTGTTCTTTGGGATAACAGAATCCTGGTGATAAATAACCATGGTCACATCCAGTTCTTGGGCTCACTGCACCTGTTGTGCCCTTTGCTCAATGGTTTGCAATGGTAATTTAATGTAACTTGCACAGCATAGGTGTTGTTATCATTATTGCTATGTTTTTGAGAAAACTGAGGTCCAGAGGAGTGAAAAAATTTGCGGTAGGTGACACAGCTATTAAATATAGAACAAGGATTTGAGTCATGTGGTTCTACTGCCCTGACTTCTCGGAAACTGGAAAGAAATGCTGTGCTGACTTGGCTTCTTATTGTGGTTTTACCATCCGCTAAGTCATGCTGTACAAAATTATAGGTCCTCTGAGCATCAGAGTCTTTGTCTTTGAAATGCTAGGTTAATAGTTAATCAAGAAGAAACAGATATAAATAATCTATCCACAACCTTTAGGATGCTAGTGTCTTTTGATGTCTTATAAAGTATTCAAAGAAACCTTGCACTGATCTTCATTTCAAGTAGTTCAAATTTTGGATGACATGTTCCTGTTTTATTTGCCTGTTTTGTTTTTTTAAATTACTTTTTCATACTCTCTGAAGTTTGAATGGGTAATGACTTTCTGTTTTGTTCTGTATGAATTCCAGTAAAAAAATAGTATGTGCCTTGATTTGGTAAATTGTGACTAGTCTCAGACAAAAATGGAGATTCGATAAGACTTACATGAACCTGAACAGCTCCCTACCCCCCTTCTTTGATGCCATATGTGCATTTGTACTTATTTTTTTTTCTTTCAATTTATAGGCTATTTACTTAGCCCTTATGGAACTATCCAAAAAAAAAAAAAGAAAAAAGAAAAAAGAATAAAGCTGCTCATGTGAATGCCAGGTTTCAGATTAGCCTGCACTGTAACATATGAAGAACAGACCTGTAGCTAAAAAAGCCTGCTTGAATCTTTGCTCTTCTGCTTTGCTACCTGTATGGCCTAAGGCAGGATGCTTTGTTTCACCTGTTTTGTGAAAGAAACAGTAACACCTATCTGGCATTTCTGTGATAAAGGCCACTACTACTATTCTTAGAAACTAAATCAAGCACAAATAACAAAGGACACCTTTAACCCATATCTTGGTGAAGCCCAACTCCTTTTTGAGTGGGTTTATATTGTCTGGGTATTAGACAATTTGTTCCTGCTCCATGCTTCACAGTCATAATGATATTGCCATTAATCAATTTTATTTAACAAAATAGTAATTAAACACTACATGCCACATGCTGTTTAATGGCCCTTACAAATATTAAGTCATTTCATCCTCACAGCACCCTATTTATTATGACATCTGCATTCTTAGAACATTGCAAACATGCTTTCCTCACAAAATCTCAATCATTTCTTTGTAAGAGTTGAGTAAGTTAGGAGCACCCATGTGTATTACTATGAATCTGTGTACGTGTGTGTGGACCAGTGCACACAGCTCTGACCCTAGTGCTGTTTGTTTCATGAAAGACACCCAGGCTGAGCTTCTTGCTTCCAAATTCCTGTTGTCTTTTGGTGTTACTTGAAACTTCTCTTTACCAGCTTTCCATCTGCCATTTCAGTTTGCCATAACACTTTATTTATTTTTGTTATTACCTTTGGTGCAGAGCTCTATGTTAAATATCCTACTTGAAATGTCAGTCCCCAAAGCACAAATGTGTGAGTTGGGGGACAAGAGATTTTGTATACATTTGCATGCATATATTTATATACATATTGGTTTGTGATGAACATACCAAGGCTGATGGGGTCTAAATGTTTTTTGCATAGTCTTAGGGTACAAAGATGTTAGAAAATGGGAAATGGTATTTGAATAGCAAGGGACACGCTGTCGGTCCTCTGGCAGAAGCAAAGGAGCTCACGATTAATTACTAGGCTACAGAATGTTAAATTATCCAGGGGATATTAAATGACGTGGCAAATGGCAATATTGTGAGAAGCTCTATGTATTTGAACTAGTGTTCACCTATCCAGGGGTTTTATGTAGCTTTTTAAAAATTAAACCCATACTACTTTTTTGATGATGGCAAAATAGAATGATGACATTTTTCCAGTGTGACATATTTCTAGCTGCAACTAAAAACATTTGCTCACCTAGCTCTCTTGTGAATGAAAGAGACTCAGTGGTAACGAGTTGCAATCACCTTCATTAATGACAAATTTTGCAGTTTTGGTACACTAAATTATGGGTTATGCTGAAGGGTTTGATCATAAGTTATCCGGCATGGAAATGCAGAGGAATTGTTAAGGGTTTTCCTGTCAGAATAAACTGCAGAATATAGGTTAGTTCATTCAGTAACTATTTTTGAAGCATCTGTTGCGTGCTCAAGTTCTGAAATTATGGTACAATGGGGAGCAAGAACAATCCAAGTTATTTGTCCTGATGGGTCTTACAGTCCAGTGGATGAAACAGAAGGTGGTAATCAATTATACATAAGTGAACAATTATAGGTAGTACTGCTAAGGAGAGGTTCATGAAGCTATATGCTGTGCTGGTGGGTAATGGGAAACTAACCTGGTCTCCGAAGGCTAACAGGGCAGCCCTGAGTTGGGGTTGGGTTAATTTTTCACTGCTTATCAAAAGACTTAACAAAGAATACTCCCTTTGAAGCAGCATTTGCACGTTGAAGCATTTATCCTAAAGGAATAATTTGAGGTGTGGTAAGCATTTTAGCTCTAAGGACAAGGTATTGTTTTATGATGAAATTGTTGGAAACATCTTAAGTATGCAACGGTCAGCACTTAAATTTATGTCATCAAAAATTGTATAGACTATTCCAAATCTTTTAAAGAAATACACAAATATTTTTATTATAATAAAAAATGCATTAAAAGCAGTTACAAGGAGTAATTTCAAAATAGTGTTTTAAATGCCTTTGCCTTTGCCCTACCCTATCCTTTCTAGTTATCCTATTTGATTTCAGATATATCAGTAATCAGAATAACAGCAATAGTAATAGCTGCTCATACTAACTGCCGCTTAGCACATGCTAGCCCTGTGCTAAATACTTAATATCCATTATTTCAATTGATCTCCTATAAACCAGTGAAATAGGTATTATTATGTTTATTTCTTTTTGCACACAGAAACTTTTAAATATGTCAACACATACATATTCTCTGCAACAGAGAGGATTGTTTCAGCATTCATGCTCTTCACCATGAGTTTCCTTATTGCCATCTTATCTAAGAGAAATCTCTTCTTATTATTATTTTTTGTGTGACAGCTTTCTGCCAAGAGGGCTGCAGATACGGTGGAACATGTGTATCTCCTAACAAATGCGTCTGTCCTTCTGGATTCACGGGAAGCCACTGTGAGAAAGGTAACCCTGCCTGTTTTGTCATTTTGGGGGGTTGGGGGGTAGGGAGTGGAGACAGAAACAGAATCTTTCACAGAGAGTGGAGCTCTTTCTCTAAATACAGGACTGTGGGTGGACTTGAAACGTTATGTTTTGATGGCAGGTATACCTCTTCCAAAGGGTACATTTTGCTTACTGCATATTAGGCATCCTTCCTTTGAAAACAGGTCTTCATTTGCCCTCTCTCCAGCATGTCTAATTTAGCAAGGTCAAGTCTTTTCTCTGCTTTCATTGGCAGTGTGGTTATTTAGTGCTAATTAGAGATAAAGCCTGACGTACTGACCTGCCCAACTTATCATGTAATGGGTAGCATAACGTGCAACTATTGGAGTAGCAGTCTGCTGCATCAACGGAATCTAGATTAGAACCACATGCTCTTTGCATAAAAGCACATTAAATAACTCTAGCAGCAGGTTTATTGGTATGCTTGGAATTTTATTCTAATTTTGGTTTATAGTGAACATTATCATTCATGGACCCGATAATATAAGCCGATTAGTATTGGTAAGATTCCATTATGTGCCTCTTTGTATTGGCAATAAATGTAATGTTTACACCCAGTGCTATTTGGTGAAAACCAACTCTCTTATTAATTGAAGAAGTCCTCCTACCTTTGTGTGAGTGAATGATGCCATTTGAGGTCCATGTGCCAGGTGTATGTAATCAGTGCAGGCAAGGGGTTTATGCCGTGTGTAAGGTTGAATATTTCAGTATATTTGCCCATGAGCTTTGTTAGGGTAAAACCACTGAATGGTGTTTTTCTGAGAAGGGAATATCATACTTGACACTTATCAAAGAATAGCCTAGAAATCTGGAAACACGGTGTTTTCATCATTATTCCTCTTATTTGATAAGTTTTAGGATGTCTTCGTCTAATTCCAAAGATCTAAGCAAAGCTCTTCTCTCCTGCATGTTTAAAGTTTTATTTTTTTTAATGAGCCTATTATACCCCAAACTGTCCAATGTACCACTACATTGTGCTACCTGTATATTTATCAGGCAGCCTGATTCTTTATAAAAAAAGATTTCAAAATTTACATGAATTATTCAATAAGGAAATCAACAATGTGCATACCATTGTTTCCATATTTTGTGATTTTATCAACAAATCATCACATTTATTAAATTAATTGGCTTGTCCTTAAAAAGACACATATACAGGAGCCCAGTTCTGCTTCTATGCAGCATGAGAGCATTACCCCGTGGAGCTGAAATTTTCTTTCCAAAAGCAAAGACACAAATGGTAACTTAGCACACATGCCTTTACTGCAGTGCATTAGATTTTGATTAAGTTTTGTAAACTGAAAAAAAACCCTAAAGTTTTCCCATTTCCTTTAGAACTGCTGTGAGTCCCTAAAATGAGTATCCAGGGGTTAATGGGGACAGAATGGTGATGGTGAAGATGTTGATACTGATGGATACCAGTACTCCCAATAGACCATTTGTCATGTACTAGCTATGTTGTCAGGTCTTTAAAATGAGTGCTTTAATATTAACTCACAAAAGAGATTGATATCACTGCTCCCATTTTATAGAGTGTAAACTAAAGCTTTATCCAGGTTAGGCAGCTTCTGCAGTGCTACAGAGCCAGTATTAGAACAGAGACTAAAACATAAGGTGCATTGCACAAAGCCTGCATTAGAAACCCTTGTGTGTGTTTCTCAAGGAAAACACGTGGCCTTCCTGTTAAAATCCAGACTCCTGGGCTCCCAGCCTAGACCTGGTGAATCAGGATATCTGGGGGAGGGCCCAGATGTCTGTACTTTCACCAGGCACCTCAGGTTGGTCTTATAAACCAGTTGTTAAATTGTATTGAGATGTTTAATGAGAACATCTTTAAAGTTCTTACTCTTTTTAGCTTTTAAAGAATTAGGGAAGAGCATTTATCTTTGACGGGGACCTGAGTCAGTGGCCGCTCAGGAAAAATTGTCATTTCTTTTTTTTTTTTTTTTTTTTTACAAATAGTTTATTGTCAAATTAGTTTCTACATAACACTCAGTGCTCATCCCCAAAGTGCCCTCCTCCATGCCCATCCCCCCTCCCCCCCACATCCATCAGTCCTCAGTTTTTGTCAGCATTCAAGAGTCTCTCATGGTTTGCCTCTCTCCCTTTCCCCCACCATTTCCGCCCTTCTTCTCCCCCTTGGTCCTCCGTCAAGTTCCTCCTAATCCTCCTATACGTGATGGCTTGTTGATTTGACCTTTGGCCTTTTCTCTGCTCAATAAGGGGTTGGTGAATCAGTACTTACATTCTGGTCCATGATGTGGAACAGGGAAAAAAGAGATGGAGGAGAAAGTTAAAACCTGAGGAAAAAATGAAGCAAGGATGGGCAGGACATGGGTTCCTATGTAAATGTTAAAAATGTTAAATTTGAGATTGACAATTGCATTTTCTTGAATCTTTGTGCAGTTATTGTAAGGTTATTTCTCCACATGTGATGCCATCTCCCATCAGTAGCAAAGCCATTCCATTAAATGCTGGCCAGTATTCTTTTTTTTTTTTTTAATGTTTATCCATTTTTGAGAAAGAGAGAAACTGGGTGTGAGCAAGGGCAGGGGAGGGGCATCGAGAGAAGGGAGACACAGAACTCAAAGTTGGCTCCAGGTTCCGTGCTGTTAGCACAGAGCCCGACATGGGACTCGAACCCATGAACTGTGAGATTGTTACCTGAGCCGAATCAAGACGCTTAACCAACTAAGCCACCCAGGTGTCCCATAAGGCTGGCCAGTATTCCAATTCTGTGAGATTTTTTTGTGAGTAGGATAAAGCATACATTTTTCAGTCATTTGTGTGCAATGGATTAGATGAATTTAGGGCAAACACTGAAACCTATGCCGTATCTTACCTGAATTATTTTGTCACGTTGATCATTAGTAGTAAACATTAAGTACTTCTGTTTGCCTTTGAATAATGATGCCTTGAGTCTCAGGATACAAGGGAAAAATGCAAACGCATTATAAATGTCTCACGGCATGATTAGACTAAATCTTTTATTTGGTTTGTTACAATTTCAAGGCTAATTAAAACGTCCCATTTTAGCTGTATAGAATTCACTTATGTTTAGTCTTAAAAATGTTTCCCTTGCACTCCCCCGCCCCCCCCCCTCCAGTTTTGGCTTTATCCATTGTGATATTCAGCCTTTCAGAATATAAGTACATTTAGTTAAATCATTGAAATCATTTGTTAAAGAAAATGCCTATCTAGAATTTAATGAAGTTAAGACTCCTACCTGTGTTTGGTATGTTACCTCAAAGATGAACACCTGTATTTATCTTCTATTGATGAGATTTTAGTAAATGTAAGTTTTTCATAAAATTTACTCAGAATAAGCAAAATTTTATCTTCCGTGGTTTCTGGACAGTGAATTACGTTGGTCCTTCTCTATGTCCTTACCTTTGATTTGGTTTCTCCATGAACATTGAGATGTCTAATGAGAGAGATAAGCAAAGAATCAGATGAATCACTTTGCTACTTTTAGGATAGAAAGAGCAGCTGGAGAAAGCTCTCTTGTTAACCTGAGGGAGCTAACAGACCTTCGTGGCATACTGACATAATGTAGCCAAACATAAAACAAAATAAAACAATATTAAGTCCTCCCAGAGACTTTCCAAAGGTGAAACTGAAGAGCTACATTAAATCCAAAAATAGGTCATCTACCAGAGAACAGCAGAACACCATCTTCTGAGAAGTGAATGAGATTAAGTTTTCTACCTGGCATTAAGCCATTTGCAAGCAAGAACAAATAGAGATTATATACAAGGTATCAAATTATGTCCAGTTAAAAGGTTTCTTAAATTTGACAACATTGACCTTGTGGAACAGATAATTCTTGGTTGTGGAGGGCTGTCGTGTGCATGGTTAAGATATTTAGCAGTATCGCTGTAGCTCTATACCATCAGCCTTGTCATCCCCAGCCTTGACAAGCCGAAATATTTCTTCACATTGCCAAATATTGCCAGGGAGGCAGAATTAATGCCTACTGACAACACCAGGTTAAGATGTAGCGTTAAAAAAAAATATTTGACAAAAATTTTATGTATGTATATATGTATGTACGTATGCACACACATATATATTTTAGGTAATGTATCTCAGTTTTAGTTGATAATATGCAACTTATAAGCATTTTGGTTGGGGGGGGGGGGCGGGGGAAGACCAGACATTTTAAAGAATCTGTTGAGCATTTCTTAGAAGTGCTCAAATTCTTGACCATCCAAGAGCCAGAGGCTGGCTGATATCCACCAGGTGCTATGTGAGACGCACCTTCTTATTGTCATAGGCACCAGGTTGATGTGGAAGCTGGGCCACATCAAGGTCTACTTTGTCCCACTGACAGAGTACACAGGTGAATGCTCTAACCCTGCCCAATGAGTAAGTTACCCTAACCCTTGTGTTCTTCTAAAGGAAGAGAAAATCCTTTATTCTTTCTTTTTCTTTTCAGAAAGTGTTTTAATATATGTAATAAGAAGATAATGTCTCATAATAAAAAACTTAGACACACACATCTTACATGAAATCTCTAAAATGATTTCTCTCTGACGATACTAGGGAGTCAGTTTTAGAAAGAGTTTTGACTGGGATATAAATGAAGATGTTACCGTCTGGTGGTGGTACAGACAGGAAAGCTAATTTTACTGCATTTCTCTACTTGTAAATTTCATGAATTCAAGTTATATACCCAGGCACTTATAATCAGGATCTTGTGAATCAGACAAAATTGGACAGTACTCATCAAACTATAGGCTAGACCATAATCTAATGTAAAAAATTAGAGAAAAAAAGTGCTGATATTCTAAATATAGCAGATCTTGAATATCTCCCACATGGCTTCAGAAATGGGTTCATTTATAAATATTATTCAGTAAACTCACATAACCATTAAGCCTCTCATAATCTATAAGCCTTTCCAAAGCATGGTAAGTACCTGATCAAGAATATTCAAGGAGGAAACTGAGTGGCTCAAT